GGATGGGGAACACAATTCTCGTCCCTTACTCTATTTATCTAACGAGGAGAAATCTCTCTCAACTTTCTCTCATTCCCTCTTAAACGAGGATTCTCCATCCCATTCAGTGTAGATCCTTACTGAGTGAGTTCGTGGTAAATGAACATCTCTACATACAAAACGAGAATTATTTTTTTTAATTTACTAAAAGATTAAATTAATAAAAATATCCATCAACTTTCTACTTTCTCTAAAAATACCTCAAAATTATCAAAATTTTCAATAATAAAAATAAAAATACTTGTTAATTATATAATACTTAATAAGTTAAAAAAAATATCATTAATATTCTCAAATGTTTTTAAAAAAGAAAAAAGAAAAGTTGTTATTTAAATGAATTTAGGAAAACAAAAAAAAAAATAAAATAAAATACAGTTTGAGGCCCATCCAAACCTACCTTGTTTGGATCCGAAGCTGAATAACAGAATATCAACGCCCACTTCCCGTCAGAATTTTTGGGTCTAGTTAGTTCTCTTTCTTTCTTCTTCGTATTATCGCTCTCTGGTTTTTACTTCTTGATCTTTAACTTGATCTCGCATGGCGATGGATACTCTCTACGACTACCAAATATGGCAACCTGAAGAACATGAAGATGACGTTAATGTTACCATTTCCAATTCTCACTTGCTTCCATGTGACTGTTTTCTTTTCCACCTTCACTTTCGCCATGTTCTCCAGTCAAATCATCCTCAAGAATTACAGAGACTCCTAAATTCGTCTCTATCTTCCTTCTTGATACCTTGTGATGCATTTTTCGCCAGTGGCTTCAGTATCCTGATCGCGGTTTTCTCCGACACCGGCGTCGCTCAAGACTTCTTGGACGCGGCTGTACCGGACGTTCTGTCCGTCGCGGCCGATATAGCATGCAATCCTCTTAATGCTGGCCGTCGGGTACTTCCGTTGGCGGTGTCCGTTTTAGCCGTTTCGCCGTACAATGAACGCGAGGAAATTGGGCGAGTTTTGCGGGAATCCTCGCCGCAAGCGTTTAAAACGTCGCCGGCTAGTGAGTCGGCAATCGAAGGGCTGAAGACGGTGGAGATTGATGTCGGCGGAGAGTTGTTGATTGGAGAATGCAGAATATGTTTGGATGAACTAATGAACGGAATGGAAGTTACGCGATTGCCGTGCGCTCATCTTTACCACAGAGACTGTATCGTCAAATGGCTGGAGACGAGTCATTTGTGCCCGTTGTGTCGCTACGCAATGCCACTGAGCTGATCGGTTTCAAAATTTTCCGGGATCAGTGGTCGTACATGATAGAATTGAATTTACAACAGGAAATGCAGGGTAAAATTTTGCTTCGGTATTGAATTTGATTGTGTATTTTTTCTAATTGAGCAAAATTCTTGAACCCTAGCTGGTAAACATTCTGTTCTCTACCAAAATCACATCGATGGATGAGGGCTACTCATGCATCTTACACATATGACATCTTCAATTAGCAGAAATTAAATTTAAGTTTGAAGTTCACTAGCAATATGACAACCGCGCACGATACATTTAAGTTCTTCTCCTATCTGATGGTTTTCTGTCAATGGACTGTATCATTTATTGCTAATTACCCTCTTACAGTTCCATTCCATAGTCTTTCTTTCTAGTAATAACAACCAAAAATGTTAAGAAGATTTTGAAATTCTTAATGAACTTGTTATTCAATTTAAAGGGGGAAGCTAACCAGATAGTGTGTACTTAGTTATTGCTTGTTGAGTATTTAGAAGAAATGAATTGACAGGAGATGATGAACCAAACTAGCTTTTGTTACTTTTCAACTTAGATGATATCGAGGAGCAGGGAAATAAGGTGGACTGGTTCTTGAAACTCCATGGCATTGAGACATTGAGAATCTAACAGATAACTGGATGGGACATAGAAGTTCGTTTTGGAGATTGGCAATTATCTTAGGATGCCTGATGAAACCGCTTCAAATCGTCGACTGTGTTCGAAGATAGCTGAATCAGAGAATATTTTGATGGAGCAAAACAACCAGAATGGCAATCATCTTTGGCCAATGGAAATTTGGAGGATATTCACACAGTAAAATGGAGATGGCTGGAAGAGAGACAGAGAAAGCAGGAAGCTGGATTATCACTGGTTGCATACTGGCTCCATCAGAAATGTCTATGCCAATACATTGGAATCCGAGGTTAGTTCATAACTTTTTTGTCATAAATGAAGAACAATTCTTTATAGATGAGGTTGAATTTCCTTTACCTTTTGATATGCAGTCAGGGTAGTTGATCAAATAGTTGAAATAGATATTTGGAATTCTGTTCGGTTGGAGAAAATTTTAGGATAAGAAACATATATGGCCAAAATGAACTGAACGTCCTTTCCTTCTCAGAACTGGCAGAAGACAATCATGTGAGAAAAGGCAATTGGTATGAGTAGAACTTTCAATCAGTCTATTTAGATGACATGACTTAGAAACAAAAAAACTAAAGGATAGTTGTTCTTTTCAAAAGGGTCACTTGAGATTCTTGCATGCTTATTTCTTCTTCCAATCTTTCTTGTTCTGTGGACAGTGATCTTCTTGCATCCTATGGATTCCATTCTTTTGCAGGTCCTCGGCTTCTCCATTCCTTTCTTGATGGCATATTGAAACCCTTCTCGTTCCTACAGCTCCACTTGGTCCAAACCCATCTCTCAGCTTTCCTTCCAACTTTTCTGTTCGGCCCATATCGATTAATTAAGAGGTTGATCATAGGTTTAAAAGTAACGAATACATCTTCATTGGTACGAGACTTTTTGAAAAAACCAAAAGAAAGGCTACGAAAGCTTATGCTCAAAGTGGACAATATCATATCAGCGTAGAGTCGTGTTTACTAACACGACACCTGCATTTTCTCATCCCCTTCCCTACTTTCCCCTGAACTCACTCCTACAGATTCTTCCCCCTATTTTCTCCTTTCCATTTTTGGCGCCATTCCTCCTCTACCACCTCTCTCTCCTCGCCGTCTGATATCGACGACCTGCAGTTCTGGTCATCACTACCTTTGGAGTCCTCTTCCCACCCCTCCTCTTTCCTCTCAAGTTCGCAGTTCTTTCCTTTTCCAAATCCATTTCCCTTCTCATCTCCCTTAGCCATCTCCATACCGTAACTCTTCTTCTGCAGTTTCAGAATGAGGATACCTGTCTTGTAGAACATGACCTAGTTTCCAACATCCATAGTAGATATCCGGGAGCCTTTCGTAAATGATAGGAACCAAAGTTTCTTAACCCATGGACGACCATACTTTCAATTTCACCACTCTTCTCAAAGGCATTTTCAGAATGAGGATCGTAATTCTAACTCTCATGGTCTTCCCCCAACACTCCCAACCATACTCCCGAAAGCTGTGGCTATTTTCCTCGAGAAGCAAGCCAATGGAAGGAGGTGGAAATGAACCCAGAAAGATGCATATTGGAAATCTAGGTCTCTGTGAAGTTGCAGTATCCTATTTGTGGCTGTTAAAAAACCAGCAGCCTTTTGCCATTTTCCAGAACCCTTTGCTTGTCGTGGGGAGTTTTGAGTAGGCATATGTAGATGCCCATTTTCATCTCAGTTCCAAATCTTTGGCATTGTAGATCTGAAACCCTCCAAATTCACCAGCTTTGATGTCGAGCGTTTGCAAACTAGGGCGTTTTCTAGGTCCTTAGAAATTCACCTGCAGCACTGAACCAGTTTTTTGTGGTCCAATTCACTGAACTGAGCCACCACTGAACCAGCCAACCAAGTTTCCTCTTAATAAGATGATTATTTGGGGTCGTATTAAAGTGTAAATGGTTCGAATTTAAAGGATTTGGGTGGAAAGAGATAAAAATCATGAAGGGTGGGATTGAAACTCCCGACCAAGAGAGGCTAATTGATATTATCAAAGAGTTAGAATTATGTTTGGGCTAGTAGATTTTATAAAATTTTAGCATAAAAAACTTCTCCACCTACACATTAACTCGATAATTCAATCTCTAATGTGTAATAGTTGACTTTGAGAAATGGATTAAGATTTAATTTGTAAACGTTACAAATATATAATATATCAACCTTATGTCAACATTTGATATATGTCAATATTTGATAAGTGCATTATAGATCTATAGACATACAATTTAAGCACATATTCAGTACTAGAGATTTCTATGTTATCCATGGGATGGGGATCCGTGAAGACCCTCTTGTTTGAATGGAGAATGGTGAATGAAGGAGAGTTGAGAATCTTACCTTCCTTACTATAAATATATTTAAATATATTTTTAACACGTTTTTTTTTTCTTTTTCTTGTTTTAATAAATTTTAAGTTTATTCACAGAATACGGAATGAAGAATTAGAATTAAAACATAAACCTGTCAATTTGAGGTTCGAAAATGCGCTCAGTAAAAGTAAAGAGAGGGAGAGAGAGAAAACGGGCTACCGGGTGCACAAGTAAATGAAATGGAACCCTTTCGAAACCTACAGACTCGCCGCATCTTCCCTCCAAATAAACAGACCCATCGTTTTACCAAAATCTCAAATCGCAAAACAACATGTTCTTCTTCGGCGGAGGGTTAGAGCAACAAGTCCGTCATCTCTTGAAAGCCGGTGCCGGCCGATGCATAAGCTGCAACTCACCGGCCGATCTCGTAGACTACGAAAAAGTTCTGAAGCTCTTCTTTGTTCCAGTGTGGCGGTGGCCGGGAAAAGAGTCGTTGATGCACTGCTGCAACTGAAAGCTGTTTTTCCCTCGGTCATTCTCACCGCCGCCTATTTCCGATCAATTGCCGCCGTCAGCCGCTCTTTTGAGGGCCCTTCGTTGGCATTCCTGTAACAAAGTCTTGGAGCCCGATTTCAGCTTCTGCCCTTTCTGTGGCTCTTCTCTGTAAATTTTGAATCTCAATTCTGTTGTTAAAGAAGACTGGAAAAACTTATACCCTGCTAGTCGTTCTCCTTTACTTTTGTCTCAAATCGTCTGTTGATCTTTTATGGTTTTTGTCCAACATTACTTTATAACATTGAAGATGCTTACAACAAAGAATACTCGAATACTTTTACAAAGCCGATTAAATTTATATAGCAGTTTCTAATTTACAAGGGGATTCTGTAGGGGGCAAGAGCTGGCTTCTCTCTGTTTTCAGATGATTTTCTTCTTCAGCTTCTGTAGAGTTTGAGTGTAAATGTTCTTATGAAAAGTGGAAGCTGAAAGGAGGTAAGTTGGCCTTATCTCAGCCTCATGGGTCTTTCATCTGCAATTTTGAGTTCTAAAAATGAAGGGGGCTTGGCTTGTTTATGGGTCCTAAGAAGTGTTTCAAGTTAATTACGATTGAATACTGTTCAATTTGATTTGCTGAAGGGTAGTTGTTTTGCTCCTTCCTCTACTGCATTTCTCCATAGCCTATATCTTACACCTAGCTTATCATAAGAAACTGGCATGTTCCAGATGTTTTCTCCGTTTAGCATTCTTTCTTGCTGTCCAATGACAAGCCTCAAGTCCTCATTCAATACCTGCATGAGTTGCACAAAGAAAAGCCTTTGGTGTTGGTTGTAAAAAGGACGTGTATGATCATGAATGCTCGGGCTTTTAATACTGTTCTGAAAAGAAGTTGAGAATTTTACCTGTTCTGCGAAATGTCTCCAGAGATAGTGCATGAAAGGAATATGCTTCAATATGGGAGCGAAATCCAGTGACATTCTATAGAGTAGTCTTGTCTTCTGTCTTGTGGAAGGTAAGCACACATGAAGTTGATGAAGATGTGTTGAGCATTCCCTTGTAGTTTGGCCTTCTAGTTTTCCTGGCTTGGAAATCCCTATGGTTGATAGTACCATACAAGGTGGTCGAAACTCCATGTCGATTGGATATGGGTCCCAGTATCCTTGGAGACCAGATGCAGGGGTCAAAAATTTCACCAAGCTGTTGGGTTGCATAGAGTATGATAAGAGGTGTCAGTTTTGATTAGTTGTTTAACTGATTACTTTAGATCCATCTGAAGGAACTACTTCAAACAAAACTCAGGTGTGCTGATTTCTTTGCATATGATAAAACCAATCTTATTCCATCTGAAGTTATGAAAGATCACTTTCTTTTAGACTAAGATCTCAAGCAACCAGCAAAAAAATGGGGAAGCCCATCCTTGTTGCCGAGATTAGGCATGAGTTTTTCCTAGAATTTGGGTATCATTTTGAATGGTTTTAGTTAATTTCCATCTGCCACTCAATATCTGTGCTCTGCCCTTTTTTCCTTCACTCACTCCGAACAAAATCCCATGTTATGAGTGATATCGAAAAAAATCATAGTTATGAATGATGACGACTCAAACCAAACCAAGCGTACCTGGGTACGCTCCATCCTTTTGCAAAAGTGGAAGTATGAGTGAAAGGTGCATGAGCAAGATCCAGAAGGTTATCTAGAAGTAATCCATGCTCCACTGGAATTTCAATGACAAGCTGCCACAGATAATTCAGTAGGAGATTTCAGACAGCTTCATTTACAACTCAACTGCTAAAAGGAACAAAATGTTTCTAACAATTACCTCAGCATGGATTTGAAAACCAGGAGGAGGTTGGAGTGAAGGAAGATTAGCTGCTGGAGGATCATTACCAGGCCAAACCCAGATCATTCCTTCTTTCTCGAAGCATGGCAACGATTTTATTTTCACGTTTAGTAGTCGCGTCGATGGCATTTTCTCACATTTGCCATCCGTTGAGTATTCCCAACCTGAAATTGACAACAAATGAAATCATTACTTAGAGATTGTTTCTCTTAATTACTGTTTTTATCAATACAAGAATTTGAGTTTTTAGTCCATATTTCTTTTATTCAACACCGACCATGGTAAGGACACTGGACTCGACCATCGTTGACAGAACCGAGGTGAAGAGGGCATGCCCTATGGGCACATGTGTTTCGTATGCATCCAGGATTGCCATCCTTTCCACGGAAAAGAACCCATGATTCTTCAAAACAATCAAATGGGATCTGAAATAGATGATGAATCAGTAAGAGGGCACCCAACGTACAGTTGAATCTAAAGGATATTGGACGAGGTGATCCATAGAATTACCCTACCATTGTGTCATCTCTCAGATCACTGGAGAAGGCAACAGGATACCAGAAGTTCTTCAATCGGGGATGATATGGTTCGACAGGTCCTGATACATTTAAGCTTTTCTTTGGTGATCTTCTAGTTATGGAATCATGAGATTGTGTTGAGGTACCGGGCGAGGTAGATGGGCTATCCAATTCCGCTGTGTTTCTGTCTTGTAACAGCCTATCATGCACCAATTCTTCCATATAAGCTAGTTTATCTAAGGCAGTGCTAACCCGTGCTTCAGATTTATGAACCTGTTGTTGTTCATAGGTGGTCAAACATGATAATAGTATAGACAAGAGAATAATTACCTCACCAGGTTGAAGATCCAACAACTAAATGTCATTGGCCCATCTTCTTGATGACCTAAGACCTAAGCTATAACTATGTTTTTGGAAATTTAGTGACAAGAGCTGACTAGAAACTTTACAGACCTGTTTGTGAGCTTCTGCCAATTCCCCCTGTAATTCAGCAAGCTCCTTTTTCATTGTTCCGATAGACTTGTAGTTCCGGGCTAGAGGATTTAGGACTTCCACAACCTAAACCGGTATTTAAGCAACAAATTTTCAGCATAAAACATGTTTCGAGAAGATGGATCAACAAGTTGCACAGCTTCATTAGCCTAAAGGCAATTTGATGGAAGATAAACCAAATAAATGAAGTACGAGGAGGATGGAAAAAAGGAACCATAGAAGTATGAAATGAAAGGAATGTTAAAAACAAACAAATGAAGTAGCATGAGATTGGAGGAACCTTCTCATGGAGGTGCATGATTGTAAGAACATCTTGCCGAGCTCGCCAATCACAGTATTGAATATCATTTCTAGCCACTTCCAGAGCTTGGTTAGCATCTAAGAATTTCCCTTTAGATTGAGGAACTTTTGTCCTTGGATCTTCTACGTCAAAGAGCGTCTGCCAACCACTCTTAATCTCTGTAGCCCCTTCCTCTCCAAACACAGCAAACACTCTAAATCCAACTTTCACACTCTGAAAATTCAACATTCCACAACATCAAACCATACATTCAAATGAATCTCAACAAAATAGAAATGGAGCCTTAAATATAAAACCTCAGGGCCAACAATCAAACAGCTAGTATCAGAAACACTACCAAAACGCTCCTCCTACAGCAACTAAAGCAAGTGCCCACAAGTATGAACAGAAAACAGCCACAAAGTTCGATAATCAAAAGAGATACAAAAACTAAGCTCAATAAACTCCGTAAGATACTTGCAGCAAAATTACCAGAAAAATGTACATTGAAACGACCAAAATGAACTCTCGATCTTCTTTTCCACGAACAGAAATCGATACCAAGATACAAATGACCAAATCAGGGAAGGAAAAACAAAACCACGCACCTTCTTGTAATTGAGCTTCGGAGATTTAGAAAATGAGATCGGCAACGAGAGAGCTGCAGCCGTTGCTACGACGGTCATCGCGTTTGGACTGAGAAGTTGAAAGAGAAAGAGAGAGAGAGAGAGGAGAAATGAGAAATTTGGTGCGAAAGAATTTCATTTTGTGGATTTTGGCGATAAGAGGCGGTTGTATTCCGTGATCTCAGCTGGCCTTCCACGTTCTGCCACGTGGACGAAATGCTATTACACGTGGCATCCTCAACATCCACATGCTTCTTTTTTGTGAGAGCGAGTATCTTCCTTCAGTGGGCCCCCGACATCCTGCCAGCTCGGATTGCGAAGATATCTTAATCCTTCTGAATTTTTCTATCCAATTTAATTTCAACTTCGAGTATTAAAAAATATAATAATAATAATAATAAAATTCAATTCCAACTTCGTGGCTGTTCTTTCATTACGCTTCTTTCGAGTGTTTAGTTAGTGCACCCGTCGAGTATGTAATTTTGGTCACAGTCAAATCTGGTCCGTCCATCTCAAATAATCTAGCTCATTCCAAATCTATTTTGTTTTTGTTTTTTCTTCGAATGAGTTAGTTTAATTAATATTTTAGTTAAATTAAATTTTTTTATCCTATTTAATATTTGCTTAAAATGAATGACTTTATTATATAGCAAATTGAAAATATAAATAGTATTATTGATTTTAGGGACTAAAAAAAAATTAAAATTCAGTCACGCGTTAAATATTCCCGACTATATTAGTGGGCGTTTCGATCTACTTTACATCTTATTAGGAGCTAGGAGCTCTGTTTCTAAGAGTTTTTACCCCGTGCTAAAATTGAAGAGAGACTATCTACGAGAAAGGAAATAAAAACAAATAAATATGAAGGCCAGAGGGTAAACAAAATTACTCAGGCCATTTTGAAGCTGGTTACAAAGATCTACAAAGTCCATCCAAGTGAAGATTTAAAACACTCAACAAGATGCAGAAGAAACAAGCTGTTTTACAGTCAAATTTTTTTATACTGTACTAAATCTCTAGACACCATATCCATTCCTGACTAAATTTCTAGCTTTATCCCGCTCTTGGTTCGAGAGAAAAACTTCGCAAAACCGTTTCGGTTTTTCTCAGAATTGACAACATGACTTGCAATCACAGACGACGAAGTCGACGAAGACGAAGACGGGGGCGAATTGTCTTCATTCTTACTCATTGATGGTTCAGAACTGTCATCAACTACTTTACTATAGTTTGAATCTCTTTTGGGCGAAAACGTCCCATTCGAGTGCTGCCATTGCTCCTCACCATCTCTCGTGACGTTATGTGATTCACTGGCTGCAAACTCCGGTAACTGAGTCGTGTCGATCAGAAAATCTTCGAGCGCTGCTAGAGATTTGAGCTGATCCCCAAGAGAAGCTATTGTCTTTTGACAGTCAGCAAGCTTCCCAGCAGCTACAGCTAGATCCTCCTACAATGTCACCCCTCTCCAACTATTAGTATTCAAAGGATCAATAATGTTTACCGCCTAGCCCACTACTACAGCCTAAGCCCTCCCTACTACCAGATATTGTCATTTTTTGACCTTTCCTTCAAGGGCTTCTCCTCGAGGCACTGGACGGAGTAGGACTAGACCCTCTCCATAGTAGACGCGTTTTAAAAACTCAAAAGAAAAAATTAAAAAAGGACAATATCTGCTAGCGGTGGGCTTGGCCATTATAGAGAGTTAAGGCAGGCGAGCTAATAGTTTTTACCTGTTTTATCTTCATTTCGTTCTTGGAGACTTCGATTTGTGATTGTTTTTCATCTTGTTTATTTCTTGAGAGCTGTTCTTCAAGTTCTTGACACTTGACTGTCAATGCCAATGCCGAAGCCCTCTCTTTTTGGATATCAGATTCTAACATGCCAACTTTTGCAGACATGGTCAAGGATTCTGCTTCCATGCTGATAAGTTGATACTCAATTCTTAGCTTTGACTCATTTGCAATGGTGAGCTCAGTTTGTAAGTTTTCCAGTTTCATTTCTGTTTCCTTGAGTTGAGATTGTGAAAGTTCAACAGAGTTTTGACTCTGGGATAAAGCAGTCTCCAGTTCATCTTTTTCTGTCTCTAACTTCATTAACTTATCTCCCATTTCGACCTTCTCTTGTTCGATTTTGAGTAAGATTTGCCCCAATTCGGATCGCTCGGTTTCCATTTTCTCTAACATTTGATTCACTTCATCTCTCTCGATTTCCATCATCTCGAACCGCTCTTCCATTTCGTTCTTCTCCATTTCCATTTGTTTCAGCTTCTCTTCCAATTCTTCCTTAGCTTGTTCCATCTCATTCAGCTTCTCTTCCAATAAAGATCTCTCATGCCGCATCGTCTCGAGCTCGGTTATCATGGCACTTTCTTCAGCAGCTGGGCGAGCAGAAGGTTCTGATTCTTGGTGATGGTTTCCTTTATCAGTTTCGGGTAATGCAGCAAGCCTTTCCATCTCAAGAAAATCATCCATGAGATCAAGTTCAAGAGAAGATGGAAGATTACTAGGTAAGGCTAATGCCCATGAGTCTGAGCAACTAGGTTCACATTTGTTTCGTTCAGTTCGTCTTACATCGATATCGACTGCATTAAGCTGCTCTCCGTTATCTGATTGAGTGTCGGTAATTGACTCGATAGACATTGTCGAAGCAGCTATGGATTTGTGATCATTAATCAATGATGGTCGAGATGAAATTACTTTTAACCTCCGACACTCGGCCTCGAGCTTGGCCATTTTCTTTATGCTGTCAAGATGCTGCTTACTGGCTGTTTCAGCTGTTTGTGTACTCAAATCTCTCTCTATAGTCCTGGTTTCTAGCTCCCTATATTGAGCATGGAGCTCATGCCTAAGGGCTGCATTTTCTCTCTTCAATGACTCCAGTATCTTGCCAAGGCTAGGATCAACTTTAGGAGATTCAGATTGAGCAGTGTCTGCTTTGCTCTGGAGCTCAAGGAGCTGCCTCTCGAGATCTGCCTTGGTTGATTCCCAATCGCGGCTTTTTTCCTCCACGATGTCACGAATCTTCTGCTCTTGTTCCTCCCTTCCCTGTCTGAGCTGCCTAACACATTCTTTGAGTGCCCCATCAAGGTGGCTCACTCGATCTTCCAATGCCGATTTTTGCTGAATCGTGGTCCTGAGCTGCTGTTTAAGAAGTCCAACTTCGCTTTCCGCCTTTTCCCATCCTAAATTCACGTTAGAATAAACAGAATTCAGCTAATATCTACAGATATACAACATGAACAATTTATTTGTCTAATTCAACCTGCAATGGCTTCTTCAGCAACTTTGGCATGCTGCTTTACCAAGTCTTCTTTTTCCCTCACATTCAAAAGAGCAGCAGATAATCTATCAGTGAGATCTTTCACACTATCATTGATATCTTCTTGTTTTGGCGAATCATCGTCGTCGTCATCAATGTCCTCCTTACATACTGCTTTCGACGTTACTTCAGGCGATAGAGTCTCGTGAGTCGGAGATGACTTGACTGCATCCTGCTTGTCAATAAGGATTGGCATGTCAACTTCAAAAAGGAGGGGATTGCAGCCAGCACAGTATATTTATAACATAAGGTCCATACTTTCAAAGATGAAAACACTAATTTGTTCACTGAAAGTGGAAAGAGTTATAGTGAATGCCAAAAGTGGTAGGTGCTTCTCATCTCGCACTTGGATAGAATGTTTGGCTCATAGTCTTAATAATCAGCATAATTTTATTAAGTTTGGGGTAGGAACGGTTAGGATCAGGATCGCACAACAACGCACATACTCGATCTAGATAAACTCAAAGAACAGAAGAGAGAAGAAAATGCAAGGAAGTATATATAGTTTATTAGATATTTACTGTACAATACTATCTACCGTATATAATTTTACCAGGTATAGCCTTTTACTATTACCATTTACTTCCTCTATCATTTACCATATATAGCTTCACTGTGTATAACCATTGATTGAGCTATAAATAAACTGCACTCGTTCATAGCCCAACAGAAACATCTGAGCTTGTACTATACAGAAATGGGTTTAGTTTACATAATTATGGAACTGCACTACTGAGAGTTAGTAAGCAGTAGAGGTAGATTTTATAAGTTGAAATCAACGAATTTAAGATTAGTTCACTTCATTCTTGAGCCAAACACATTCAAAAGGCCAATTTTTCAGGGGAAAAAACTGTAAATGGTGTATAGTAAATACATATAAGCCAATCAAATCTTCATGGAAACTAATCTAAGGTAAGGATAGTCCAATAAGTCAAGGGAAACACTCTGCCTAGAAGATAGAACCTACGGATTTCATTTTGTCTTCTACAAGCAGCTCCATCAGAGCATTACCCTGTCAGCTAAGAACATAAAACATTCTGATTCTACCTTAGTTTCGACAAGTTCAAAGGTTTGTGTAATATGTTCGAATTCCCAAACACTTGCAGCTCGATTAATTCGACTACGAGAGGAAGTTCGATCGGTCAAATCAAAGGAAACAGAATACATATCCCAGCATGATCACATCCAAACATATCAAGAAACATAACTAAGATTGAAACATACAATCACCAGGGAGATCTAGCTTTAAGGATTCACTAGTGTACCTGCTCGTCGGAAAACCTCTCGGAGTACGACGACATTGAACCAGAACTCTCAGTTTCTCCAGGGCTTTTATCAGATGACTTTCTCTTCCATGGCCATTTTCTTCTCTCCATCCTGATGCCTTATTTCGAAATCAATCCACTGGTTAAGGCGCCATCTGCAGACATACGTACAAAATTATTTGAAGTTTATATGGGAATTTCAAGCAAAGTAGCAAAAAAGCGAGAAAGAAAGAGAAAGATATTAACATCTTATCTAACAACACTAAAGTTTACAGACAGAGAGATGACTTGGGCTTTCATTCTTTCAACTTTGCTTCAAATCCACCCAAGATCATCCCACCAACACCTAGTAAGTGACAGAAAAGGGTTTCTGCTAAGCCAAAAACCCATCAATTTTCAAAGTATTTAGTAGGTAAAAGCTTCAGAAGCCATCAATGATTCAAAGAAATAAGAATCAAAAGATAAAATGAGAAGAGAAAGCCAAATGAAGAACAAAAAAATCGCGAAATCCCTCAATACTCAAGAACAAAATCCCAAAAAC